AATTCCACATTGGTTATCAATTCTCCAGGTGTGCATCCAAGGCATCATCACCAACCATTGAGGACGTTTGCGCCATCAACAAGACAGTCAGAACCATCAAAAGCATTCCGCTTAGTATGAGATTCTGGCCCCCCTTCATGGGAAGACCCGAAAAGTAGGCTATCCAGATGCCTCCTATCGCAATAATGAAGACAAGTCATCCCAACGTGCGCATGTTATTTTTCTTGCAGAGCAGAGAGATCTTTGCCAGGGCTCATCGAATTCGAGAGGCTCACTGGTCGACTATGAGACGCATAAGATGACCGCCGCAACCATGTCCACAACTGTTGCTGAATTGCACGGACTAATGCGTTGTTACGGTTCAGCCTTATTTCTTCGCGGAGTCTGGTCAGACATTACAGGCGAAATCGCGGATGTCCATATCCGCACAGATGCTAACAATCTTGTTACAACAGCATCCACAACACATCAACCATCAACCAGAGCAGAAAGAAACAATGCACTTCATCCAAATGTTGCGAAAGGAGAGCAATAGTGGACATGCACGATCTCGCACATGTGCGAGGCGAGGATTGTCTAGCAGATTCGCTGACCAAACACTCAGCGAAGGCAGACGAGCTTATCAAGGCAATATTGACAGGCAACCTCATGAATGTGGACGCTCATCCACCCTTCCGCACCATGTTGCAGAACAAGGCATTTTTGGTTGAATGGCTAGCGCGCAATACGAAGCACGGACCCGACTGCATTCGCAGGAGTCGGGATAGCAGAATCCATGTTTGGTTATTGGGGAACTTGGGCATGATCCACATGTCCATGAATTTTCAATGCATGAGTTTTTCCATCTTAGTGATTTCCAATTCCTCAATGCCGCGGTGAGTATTTTGCATGTGACCTTTCATCCGCAGCCAGTTTGGTTTACAACCAATTCGACCTTTGCGACCGTGTGTGCTTTTTTCGATTGACAGCGACATGCCGCTCCTTGCAAGCCTTTTCGGAATCGGCAAGTCAAAGCCATCCACTCCGAAGCCGGCCGGAAAGAGACGAGCTTCTCCACTCAAGGACTCACCCATCCAGAGCGACGAAGATGACGAATCATCCGCATCCGATTACATCATGGGCGAGACCAAGGACGACAAGAAGCCTAAATCCGACCGCCAGGTAGAAGATATTCCAATGGAGCAGGTAGATTATGATAGAGATTCCGACAGCGATGAAGACAAGAAGCCCTCGGAGCCACCTCTCGAGGAACGGCCAAGGCAGGCGCAGCCATCCATGACCTTGGACGAAGAGACGGAGTCCGACAATGTCAAGCATCCACCACTTCCAAGACGGCCAACGATGAAGGCGCCTCCTGCATCCCTTGAACAATCCAAGTGGGTGGGCCCTAACAAGCCAGAGCAGATAGGAATAAAGCTTTTGAGGGATACCGCGAATCCTGGAACCATTCTGGAACCACAAGTTTCTGAGCATTGTGAAGCAGTACTACCGTGAGTGCCGCACCATCCAAGAGAAACATCCAGAATTCAACTATGTTCCAGAACATCTGCGAGGGCCCCGTGACAAGCCATGCTGGTTGAAGACCAAGAGCAATGACCGGGGGGACCTACCATTTGAGGAGAGGACGCCCAGGAAGAGAATGCGTACATGGCCTAATTCAAGAAGGTCTACGGTGTGTGTTGCCTGATCAACGACAATCCCATGTGCCCCATACTTTTTGTAAATACCAACTAACAATACTTCCAGGGCTTCTTAGGTGCAGGATTTCGTCCACCCACAGTACCAATGGTAACCCACAACGGGCAGATCGACATGGACAAGACCAATGCCAAATCCATCTGCGTATGTTACTCAATGGATCAGTCCTATGCTAAGCCCGTCGTCTCTGGAGAGTGGAGAGAATGAGCAGACTATTTTCTGAATGCCTTTGACACCATCCACGAGAAGGACGAGAATTGAAGAGGGCAATCCATTTCAATCTTGATGGATCCTGTGAACTGTAGCAGGCATTGTGTGCAATCACCCACGCGCGAAACGTCCTTGGCACCATACCAGGCATATTCCTGATGACAATGCTTCCATCCTTTGGAAAGTCCAGATTCGAGATAGCGTTCGTATATCCGAAGTTTGATGGATCGTACCAAGAACGGGAAGCAAGGAACGCCCTTGTCCCCAGAGACCGATGGATTGACAGCCTCACATCCAAAGCAGCATTCCGTGCACTCAGGCCTGATGGCAAGTCATTCTACCACGACGACAGCACGGAGCTGTGTGTGAAATGCAGCACACGATACGTTGAGCTGGAAAGCATTGAGAACCTTGTGGAAGAACACCTGGGAACGATTTGCCCAAGGCATCCAAGCCTCGTGATCAGGACCATGAAGATGAGAGCACGGCAGCGCCCATGTTCCATGCCACCTATGGAACTCAGATAGCAAGGAATCAAGCCAGGACAAACTAGCACCCCTCGGGGAAGACAACGCGTCCACATGGCCTGCGTTGGCAATATCATCTACAATGATCAGGAATCAGACGCAGCGCTGACCCATGTCCCTGAGGGATGCGATGCATTGTTGATCCTTGCATTCACACAAAACAACCAGAATCACGGAAGAAAGAACTGCCCTGTCAGAAAACACCATCGATCCATGCAGCATCATCGCAGCATTCGATACCGATGGACAGCCTCTTATGCACAGCCACTGGATCATGAAGAAGAATCTCGACCATGATGACCGAGAACAATGTGAATCCAAGATCCATGCTGAGCACTTCTTCAAGCGCATTGACAAGGGCATCTCCCATGACAAGCGCAACAAATATCAACCCGAACAAGAGCAATCCAGCGAGACCAAGAAAAGACGGCGTTCGACAGACCATGATGAGGAAAGCATGAGCGCAAGAGAAGATCGATCCGTCAAAGTCAAGGTCAAGGTCATTGTGGAACCTCCCAAATGTCCAAGGCCGATGCTGCAAAGGAGCTCGCCGAGATTCAGCAGTCATTCACGGAGTTCATGGAGAGGAACCGCATGAATCCAAAGAAGACACACCCGGACCTGACACGACCCCGAGCTCATCAAGTCATATTCGACCATTCTGGGATCCCTGATGCAAGGAACTGATGGCCAAGTTGTCGACTACCTCACGAGAAAAGACTATCCACCCAGCATGTCACTCAACATCCTGACAGTGAATCACGGGAACCTCACAAGGAATTGAAGGCTGGATAGTAAAGAACTCAAGTCATGTTCATAAAATGCGGATACAAGGGCATCGTCATCAAGCTTTGGTCATCCAAGTCTCCGAGGTCGGAAACACGCCAGAGTCGAACTGTTGGCACGTTACATTTCAACGAAGAGCCAATTCTGGAGTACAACATTCGGAATGTTCAGATGCTTCTTCAGGCTTGAAGACGGTTGCAATGATCCGGACTATGATGCTCCAACACCCGACTGTTTGGCATCCACCGGAACATCCATGTTCCTCAACCAGGAGAAGTTTATTGGACAGAGATTGCCACCACGCACCACCGTACAATCGCGTGGCAAGAACAGCGAGATTGTCGTCATCCACATTGAGCAGAACAATGAGATTCGTGGAACATTTCCAAAATTCACTCAGAACCCTGTTCTCTCCTACGACTCCCGCCATGTCACAAGAGCTGACCTTCCATTTGCCACCATTGGAGTTTTCCATATTCATCCAAACGTCAGCCATGGTGCAGCAAAAGAAGACGTACAGAAAGGCATCATGCCGCTCGTCACGGAGTACCACTGCGATGCGCTCGCAGGCGACGCCAACAAGTCCGCAAACACGTTCAGTAAGCTACAATCCGTTTACAATCCTGAGCACGGCCTCATGAACTACATTATGGGTAAGTTCAAGAACCTTTGGAATGGAACACAAGACATGCCGTTGGCGGAGCGAATGGATTTCACCATGTTGACCTCTTGCACAATTAAATCCATTGCTCGTCACCATCTTTACATGAAAGAAGGTTCAGGATTTGACAGAACGTTTCCGGATTCCATTCTGACCTTCGTGTTCAGTTGGGGAAAGATTGACATCCAACAAGAATTCCGTCAATTCGAGATTGCCAAACGACCAAGATACGATGGATTCCATGATCGAAGATGTTGACAAGGTCATCTCCGACTACAAGGTCACTTCCGCCGAGCGCTACAGGCGCATCAACAATGAGATGCTAATGCTTGGACCACGCCTGATACCCCATTGCTGGTCTACATTCGCAGCCTGGCAGCTGATCAAGGAGCACAATCAGAACAAGAAGAAGGCGAATGAGACAGCATGGAAGCCATGGAGCCAATCCTATCAGCAGGAAGAGCTCCGGCTACCAAGATGGGAGGATTATGGCGGAGGATATGCAAGCCAATCCGATAGCAGCTACCGTTGGTACTCGCAGAAGCGATGAGATACTATGACAACAATCCACGCTGAGAACCATCACACGGAAAACGACATCATTGATCCTCCTGCACATCAAGACTATGCTCGTGAGTGATCAATAATTTCACACAATCCCGCGTGTACAAAGTGTTTCTCACATTTCCGTTTTAGATACAGTTAGGTATCTCGTCCAATCAGTACAAAGCATTTTCCATTCTGCCAACAAGATGATTTAATTTTCGATATGGCTACGGCAAGCGCACCATAAGTATGGCTACGGCTAAAGGCCATGAAGCCAAGAATGCCATTTTGGTGTTCAGGGTCAAAAGAATTTGCAACACTGTTTTTGTGTTGCTTTTGCTTCGCAATTGACCCTGCGCCACACACATGCTATTTGGCTCAAGGCCCTATGTTGTAGTACAGTTGCATTCATCCTGCAGCCATTACAAAAGTTCCTCCACTATTGGCAGATTGGACTCTCTTGCCGAATAGCATTCTCTACCACCACAAGGTACCTGCTCCCTTCGGGGATACGGTGCCCCTGCCAATTTTGGCGGAAGTTGCGCTGCGCGAGACAGATATATGAAACTAAGGTCGGTGACCTCGACAGCCGTGGCCCATAACATCAGCGCGAATCAGATGTCAGCTCTGGAAGTCGACGAAGGAGAAGGCCGATGAAGAATTGCCTTAAGCGGTGTGAATCATGAGCGAAGTTTCCTGCATCACCCCCTTGTTGAGCAGTCAACTGCTCACCTGGTCGCAGTCTCTCCCTTTGAGCCCGAAACAGTTGGACTTAACATGGTCGTTCCCAGTCCGGATCAAAGAAAGCCTTTCAGACCTTAGTTGGTTCAGTCCTTGAGTCCGTATCTTACCCCACTCAAACCTTTTTCGTCTTTTTCGTGGGTCCGCCCGTAGCCGCCCGAATCCGACACGGAGGTGAGGCCGGCGATGCGCAGTGGGGCCGCAGGCGCCGGCGCCGGCGCCGGCGCCGCTTTTTCAAGGCGATTGTGAAGGCGGCTGAGTGAAGCCATCGGTTCTTTAGCTGGGTCCCCCCGCGCGGGGGCTGTCAGGGTTGCTCCAAAAACTTCAAACAAGGGGTTACCCCCGTTTTCTTGGTGCCCAGCAGGGAATGGGTCAAAATGAAAGCACCAGGATATGGATCGCAGGTTTTGGTCCTTGTTTCCACTTAGGTTCACACTCACCCCTTTTTTTGGTTGGGAGGGTTCCCCTACTACAACAGAGAAAAGGGTAGCCTTATTCTGGGCCCTCTCTACTGGAGGACCTAAGCCGTCGCTTGGCCGACAGGAATGGGGCCTGAGGTTGGAGGGGAGCCCTTTTTCGGACCTTAGTGAAGCCACCGGAGACAGTGTTCGGCTTGACAAGTCCGACTTGTCCGAAAAATCGTGAGGCTGTTGTGAAGGTCGTGCAGGTGGTCGCGAAGGCGATCGGATCCCTACTTGCATGCATGGGCGACTTCGGGAAATTTGCTGCCACAGGCTACACCAGCCCCCTGCCTCGTAATTGTTGACCCCATATTTTCATCAACCAACCATTTTATGAGTAGCGGGGTGCTTCTCCTTAGGTGAAATGTTGGGAATCACATCCTCGTGGAGGGGCCCCGCCCTATTTATAAACTGGGGTTGACTTAATATGGGGTCAACATGATGCCACATGCCTTACTTGAAGGCAGTGTTCTTGTGATTCTCAGCCAAGGAGCTTTCACCCCCAGCACGGCCGGAAGCATTGGACTGAGCGCTGGCAACACTAACTTCCTGAAAGACATCCTGGGTGGTTCGACGCCCTCAGGCTGGATTTCCCTGGATATGGGCTTCTCTGTTGGCTCCACCAGCGAGATCTGGTGGGCGGGTGCAGGCTTCAGCGGCTCTCTGGTTTGCGACACCACTGGCGCGTGCTCCATCTACGTCGCTGTGGCCATTCTGGCGACTGGGAACGCGAAGATGCCGGTGAGTGCATTGTGCCCCCTGGGCGCCAGTATCGGAGCCATGGACTGCAGCCACTGCGCAGGGGCCAGCATGACCATCTTGTGCTGCAGCTTCGATCTTACGAACGGCAACAACGGGTGCAGGTGAGGCGATGACCAGACTTGTCACCAGGTTCAGTTTTTTGAGTCATTTGACTTCTGAGTCGTTTGACTCTCTAAGGCTTGCCAGCTTACTTGTCACCGGTTTCAGTTTTCAGTCATTTGACTCTCTTTGGCTCTGGCTCTGTGATATTTTTTGCAAGCTCAAGCTGCCACCGGTGGCGTGCGTTCAGCACGAACTGATCCATGCAGAAAGGGCCTTGGCTTTACGGTGAGCAGGGAGCGTTCTCTAGAGGCTTGAGGGAGAGATCCGGGTGCGTCATGACCCGGCTTTAGTCGACGAAGAAGGCAAGCAGGCGAGCTTCGGCCATGTGGAGCCAGAACACCCCCAAAGCCTGAAGCTCCACACCTGAGAGAAGTCAACGTAGGATTGTTGCAATGAAGCCGCTTCAAGCGCCATCGATTCAGACATGTGGCAACAACCTACGAAGGCGCTGTCATGGACTCTCTTGTGTAGCTAGCTTATGTTGGCATGGACTCTATTGTATAGCTTATCCGAATTTACGGATCCCAGTGCGCAGTTGCTCCGAGAAACCTCCCTCCCCAGATTCATCCGGTCCTACCGTGGATGGTTGAGAAATCCATTTCGCAGCGTTGTTTGTTGGGATTTACGGGGGAATCATCATTCCAGGGATTCTTCGGTGGTGCGAACGGATTTTGTCCATCCACAGTATCCCATCCCAGCCACTCCGGGGACCAACTTTTCAGCGTGCCACACCATCTACTCGATCTGAAACCAGAAGCTGGTCTGAAGTTGAGCCACCCGCAACAAGCTTTCGGCGACCCGGAGTTCCGGGGGGGAATGATCGGGGACCGTGTCTTTCCCATGTCGGACACCTCAAGGTATCAGCTCACCTGATGGCCATGGGGGCGGTCAGTGACATAACCCATGGTTTTCCATTTGCCACCGTTTTTTTTTGAGGTTCACCAGGGGTTTCCAGGGTTTTGACAACCACCAGATGGCCACAAGGCTCTAACCTGGTTGCTGGCCCGAAGCCAACCACAGCCTAAACCTCTCATTCTGACCAACCCCAGGCTCACAGCACAGTGCTTGGATGCCTGAAGCACGAGCGGTGCGTTTCTTTTTCTTGTTGATAGGTATGAAGGTCGGGGAAACCGGGGCTTGGGGTTGAGGTTGCAAGAATTGATATTGGCACGCGCCAGAAACAAAGAAACATCTGGCTTTGCCAGGGCACTCCAAATGAGGCTCGCAGGTGTACGTTCTGACAGTCTCTCTGAAACACTTGTGCACGGAAGCTTGCCTGCTGCGTGGTAACACCAAAGAGGGTGGCAGACAACGGTTCCTTTGGTCATCATGTTGACTTAGGGCTAGGGGTTGTCAACGTCAGAAATTGGTGGGTGGTTTCCCTTCCCCCACTGAACGGGGTGACGTGGTAAAACTTATGGGGCTAGCTTTCTTGTCAGCTCTTATGTGGCTGTGGGCCAAAACCCATGGTACCATTTGGGTTGGTAGGTGAATT